TACACTAAAACATATGGATTTACTACTAAAATACCAAAGAAACAATTGGAAAGAGGCACAAAATACTGTAAAGAATATGCACAATTTGACCCTTAATAGGGTGTGACCCATTTAATGAGCACTGGAGTGGAACAACATAGGCCCAACAGTGTGCCAAAATAGGCCCAACCAAGTCGGGTCAACCAAAATGATGCTCGGTCAACGTGGATGAGGTCAATAGCGTGTGGCCATTGGATGAGAGGCAGGTGATTGGCACACACGCGTGAGCATGAACAAGATTATGCATGTTTGTCTTATGCTCTGGCCAATGGCATCGCGTCATATGGCACACAAAACTAAAGAGAAATAAAAGAGACAAGTTGTGACACATGTCAGCGTCTGGTGCATTCTAGGTTTTTTTTCTTGTTCTTTATTTGTCCATAGTTTCTTGAATTTAATCTACTAAAATTACAAAATGCAAGTTATATATCACTGGACTCGGTTTTTCACAAGGAATCCAAATATACGATCAAATTTCTCAAGTGAGCCACAAATTTTGACGAATCAGGCAAAAAAGTGAAGAATAAAGTGTATAAAGAATCGACTGATTCACATCCGTTATAATGATTTATGAAAAACCAGTCACATATTCACAATCGTGGCGAAATATTGCTTCTACTGATGTATTCATATGTTATTAACAATTAAGAATTACATAATCACCATTTTCAAGTTTGAAGGTCCATGCATGTTCTTGATGGAAAATTCTCTAAATCCAAATAACTCATGATTTCATGCAATCAATAATTGAATTTCGCTTGGCAAACATGTATCAACTTAATCAAGCAATAAGATTTAAAGAAAAGTGATAATTAAGCTTACTTGGAGTACAAATTACTCAAGAACACAATGAAGAAGAAGAAGAAGACAATAAAGGTTCTGACATAATTATAATTTGTGTTGTGGTTTGATTATAACTTGGTTTTGGTACAGGTTTTGAATTAAATTACGATTAGAGCAAACATATAACATCAACAATTTGAAAAGGATTACCGACCAAAGTGATGAAAAATGTGGAATTCTCTATTGCACGCAAGGTGCTTGATAGAATGTTTCAACCAATTTGGAAGTGGTAATGTTGAAAAGAGAGGTGAAATATCTTACCGATAAAGTAGAGGTTTTCCCCGGTTAGTGTTGAGAATCACCGACTAATTTACCGATGAGAAATCCGAAAAACTTCAAAGAAAGCTTCTTTGATCCAATTAATTTCCAAGCTCTTGATGAATATATGGTAATGGATGATAATGATTATTCTTGAATGGAAAACCTTGATGAATTATTATTGAATATTGATGAAGCTTGAAACTTTAATGATTGTAGAATCTTAGTGATTGTTTGAATTGTTGAAACTCGATGTTGAATCTTAAATGATGAAAATGAAATTTGATTGATGAATTGTTGAAACTTGATGAATCTTGAATGGTGAAAATGAAATTTGATTGATGAATTGTTGAAACTTGATTGTGGCTAAGTTCCACCAAATTTAGAACATCAATATGAAGTTCTTAAATGGAGAGAAATTGAACTTTGGTGATGGTGAGGAATTTTTACATAATAAGTTTACTATCAATCCGTGGTTTTCTGTGAATAATTGATAATGGAAGCATGAGGAAGTAATGCATAATTTTGTTATGACTTTTCCATAACATTTTGATGATTTTAATCCATAATATAAATGTCTAACTTGATGTACCTTCTTCCTTGTAGAAAAGTGAGCATTATGGTGGAAGAATGGGCTTGAGGGGACATCAGAGAATGATGAAAAAGCCATGAGAATTGAGCTTGATGGAAGATGAAATCTTGTGTTGTTGGAAACTAATGTTTGTAACATAATCATGGAATAATTGTTTTTTACGAATAATGATGATTCATTTGATCAAATATGTGTAGAATAGGTCTAGGAAAATTCAAGAGTCAAATCGAGTCAATGGTCAACAGTTGACCAAAAAGTCAATCGTTGACTAAAAGTCAACTATACCAAAATTTGTAGTTTTTTCCTTGTAAATGATCACTTGTCTGGTAATAAAGCTTGTGATGCTTGTAATGTATTCCAATTATTCATGAATGAAGATATTTTCTTTCTTTCCAAATAGTCAACAAAAGTCAAAGCATGGTCAAAGTAAAAGTAATAAGGAAATAATCAACAATGATTAATGTCCTTAACAATTCAAAGTCAATAACATCCAATCAGTGACGAAAAGTCAATAATAATTAAAATTCAATGGTAATTATAAAGTCAACAATTATGATAAAAGTCAACGTGTGAAAAAGTCAATAGTAATGATAAAAGTCAACATTGGCCAAAGCATTGTTAATAATATTGAAACGATCAAAGTCAATCAATAGTCAATTATAAGACACAAACCAACAAAATATAAAATTTAACGGAGAACCTTTGAACCATTAAGTAAAATAAAATATAAGGTGGACCAGATGAAACTTTTATGGTGTATCGAATGCATTTAGCCTAAGCAAGAAAAGAAAATGGAAAAAGAGTTGGGAAAAATTGGGGTATGAGAGTAAGGTAACACTAGTATAGTCACAAGGGATAATGATTCAAAACATAACTACCTAACATTCTGATTAAACTTTGTGTTATCCTTACTAATGTTAAGTTCAAATCAAGAGATACTTAATTGTAATAACATTTTTTCCTCTTTTTTTTTTTTGGAATTGGTCTTGTCATTATTAGAACAAGTGGGAGATTGTTGTAAATTATTAAGAATTAATAACCTTAAGTGTGTTCCAAAATGACAAGAAAATGTGCAGTTGAAGGTTAATTTTCAATTCAGAAATAGGTAACACTTGTGAAATGTTGTAATAGGAAGTTTACATTTTGAATTCGGAAATAGGCAAACACTTTGTGAAGTGTTCTAGAATGTGAAACAACCTTTGTAAATTGTTGTTGTAGGCGAAACAGTGCAATATTTGAAAAATGTTGTTGTAGGCGAAACAGTGCAACATTTAGCAAAAGTGTTGTTGAAAGTGTGTTTCATCATTCAAGGTCTCTCGAGTAATTATAAAAATTTACAAATTAATTTTCTAACAATATTCCCGTCCAAGATCTACCGAGTAATTATAACAATTTCATCGGTAATTGGACGGCGCGCTCTATCCGTGATGACTATTAATATCTTCTTGCTTTTTCTTACCATTATATCTTGTTGATTATGAATGTGAAAACCTCAGACCTAAAAACACGAAAAACACAAAATAACATGACAACGTAATTTTTTAATTCACATGTTAGAGGTAGATATGGTGATAACCTCTAACAAGAACTTCCACTCTCATCCAATATCTAAAAAGGGTGGCATCTGCAAACACTATGAAGCTCAAGTTAATTGTAATTATAAGTCTGAACTTTTTAGGTTAGAAAAACGTGTACAAAAAATTATCTCGTTTTCCCTTTTTATAGTAGCGTTCTAGGTCTTTGAAGTTTACTTGTCAACTCTATTAAATGACATGTGTTAAAAATTCCTTAGAAACACGATATGATAGTCATCTTGTTGGCTTTGTTAGTTCTGATCTTGTATGCTTTTAGGGAAGATTTATTATAAGGTTCCTCGATACTAAAATCTTCTTACTAGATACCCATTTTAGTGAAAAACGCGGGCAACCTAACGTGAGCATAGTGAGCATAATGATTTCTGCGAATTTTGCTAAATAATTTGATTGTCCATTAAAAACTTGGTTGGCTTTTATCTGCATTGGTATTTATGCAGGATCACCCATGAACTTCATGTCTTTTAGATCGTTCTTTGATCATGGATCTTTTAAGGTATCTTTTAGAGTCGTTGGAACAATATGTTAGGCCCTTGGCCAAGTTCAGAATACCCTGACCTACTAATTATATAAGTGTTTTAAGTAGTACTCTCTGCATCTCAAGATAAAACTCTTTTAAAGTTGTTGCATATAAAAAAGTAATGATTGAGTAATTAAATGTAACAATTTTATAAAATTGTCCTTAATTACTAATGATTATTATAATGATGTAATATCTTGAAAGTTGTGTAAACAATATTTATTAGAAGTAAAGTTGGTAAAAATTGATTTCTTTTGCTTTGAAAACGTAAAAAAATATTTATTGAGACAAATTTTTTTAGATAGAAAGATTCTTATTTTAGAACATAGAGAGTATATAAGTAGTATGAAAGAATTTTGATTGTAAAATATATATTTTTGAAAATAATATTTTCTCAAAAATATTAAAAGAAACAGAGAGCATATTTTTTCTTGAGGCTGCTATATATACAATAAGTGTTTGACTCAGCTATATATATTTATAGAAGAGAAGATTTTGAGTAGATTAAACAGCACTAGAAACATTTTTGGTTCAACCTATGATATGTACGAGAGCAATCAATTCTAGTACCTTCCAAAGCAAAGACGAAATATATATTTGAACGGAATAGTTCAACCTTATTTTTAGTCACTCCGAATTGAAATATAAATTAAATACTATATGAAAATTGATGTATATAATTTGATGAAAAATTAAAATCAAATATATTAACTTTTCAAATATACATATATATATATATATATATATATATATATATATATATATATATATATATATATATATATATATATATATATATATATATATATATATATATATATATATATATATATATATATATATATATATATATATATATATATATATATATATATATATATATCCAAAATAATTAAAAAAAATTGAGCAAGTCCAGCCATCCAAAAGAAATTGCACAAGTCAAACCACATGACTTGACCAACATGAAAATTTCATCCGTATCAATATCATACGACTCTCATTGCATTATATTCAAAAGAAGGTTCTTCGTTTCATTGAAATTCTTCCACGACTTTTATTTTATTTTCTTCTCCTTTTATATATCTATATAGAAAAAGCAAAAAGCAAACATAAAACACACACATAGAGTGAGAGAACAAGAAGGGTTTGTTTCAACATGAATAATGAACATTTACAAGTTGGTGATCATGATGATGATGATGATGATGTTCCACTTCCTGGATTCCGATTCCATCCTACTGATCAAGAACTTGTTACTTTTTATCTTCAAAGAAAAGTTGACAAGAAACCTATTTCTATTGATCTTATCAAACAAGTTGATATCTACAAATATGATCCTTGGGATCTTCCAAGTAAGCAATCATCTAACTAATAATTTCCTTTTTCTTTTTATCTTTTTGAACTTTTATTGATTCTTCTGTTATTTTTCCTCTTAAATTTACAAGCTTGTAAGATTTTTTACTTTCTTACAAGATGACATCACTATTGAAAAATGTAAGAATATTAGGGTTTCTAATATAAGAACAGTTACTTAATTATTAGGTGGATTTATATATTATGCAGAATCTAGTGTACAAGGAACAGAAAAAGAAGGTTACTTCTTTTGCAAAAGAGGTAGAAAATATAAGAACAGCATTAGACCGAATAGAGTAACTGGTTCTGGATTCTGGAAAGCAACAGGAATAGATAAACCAATTTACTCAAATGGAGGAGAAGGAAATGATAGCGTTGGACTCAAAAAAACACTTGTTTACTACCGTGGTAGCGCGGGTAAAGGCACCAAAACCGATTGGATGATGCACGAGTTTCGACTTCCGTCTAATATTGCTACCAATGCAAATCATGCTAAGAATGATAATGATGTTTCTCATGAAGCAGTAAGTAAAATACATTCTAATGATTGGATTATGCATGATATAAAACAAACATGTCGTAATGAATTTCTATATCGCGTGCAGGAAATATGGACATTATGTAGAATTTTCAAAAGAAATGTACCACCAAGGAAACAACAAATGCCAGAGGTGAAACCATTAGCGAACAAGCATCAGATCATTCATGAAAAGAGTAGTAGAATGAATAATATGGAGACATATATCAATTTTGGTGCAAGGCACGACCATCAGCGTGGTAATGAACACCAACACGTCGATAGCTATGGAAGAATTGATCAAATGAATCAGTTTCATGTAGATCAGATGAGCTCCTCAGTGGCACATCAACCTCAACAAAATAGTGTAGCACAATCTTCAAATTATTGGATTAATCAGGCTGCTAATGAGTTACAATCGTTTGATAATTGGGATGAGCTTGGATCAGTTGTGAAGTTTTCTGTTGATTCACCTAGTTTTTAATAGTAATTGACATTTAGTTATATACTTGGGCATGTTTAATTTTGGTTATAGATTTTGAAATACTATGATATATATGCTTGTATTTTAGAGCTATAATATTAATACTGATATTGTTTGTAACATATGTAATGTAACTCTTAGTAAAGGCATTTGCAATACTAATTGACTTGATCATGCTAATTCCTGCAGATAATGTTTTAAGGATGAAATATCTATTGAACGAGAAGTTTTTTTTTTTTTTTGGATAATAGAATTCAAGAACAGCCTCCATGCTTCCACCATACCCATTTTAGTTTGCATAATATCATCTGGTGTAGTTAAAAGAGGAAGTTTGCCTCCGATTAGTAGGGGGCGAGTAATCTTAACATGTCTTTGGATTGGGGGAGGATCATGAGACAGAATGATTTTAAATTGTGGTTGCAGTCGTAGATTACGGTGCGGCTACTGCAACGTGAATAAGGATTTTGTAGGTTTTTGAAAGTTTTTTTATTACATCTAAAAATGATCAGAATTTGGGGTTAAGAAATTAAAACATAACCAGAATTGTTTAATGTTGGCTAATGAAGTCACATATGTGATAATAATTCACAATGCAATTGCTGATGTTGTTGCAAAAGTATGGTTGTTGTTGCGGAAATGGTTGAAATTGATGCACATTTCTAAAACATTCTGATAAAAATAAATGACAATGTTTAGAGAAAATTAGAATAGTATAAAGTCTATAGCCTAGAAAGTTCTATATCAATGTAATATAGAAAATACAAACAAAAACCTAGATAGTTTTATTTTAGAAACATCCTCAAGCATCTATAAATAGACAAACATGTGTGTAGCTGTATTCAAACTTTTAAAGTCCAATGTTATTGGAGGCTTCATCATAATATTATTCTCCTCCTACAATAAATAGATTACTTATGTGTTGTCTCTTATTCCGTGTTACTAAATTATCTCTCACACTACTTGCTGTTATCTTTCAACTATCTACCAGAGCTTTTTACACTATCCAAACTATCATTATTCCCTCAAATACCAACAGTGGCATCATAGCTACGTTCGGTCATTTACTGGGCGTAGCAAACTATTTCTTCTTGTTACCAACTATTTTATTAAAACTAGAAAATGAGATCTTTGACTCAAATGCAAAGGGGTACAGGTAGCCACACGGTCCGACTCTGTTTGAGTTCAAACTCAAAACTAAAATTAGAGAGAGAAGTTCAGGTAGCCAACAGTCTGATCCTCTTAATTTCAAGTCCAACCAATGTCGTAAACCTATGGCAAATAAGACTCAAGTTCTAATAGAGCACAAGCGCATGCGATAAAAAAAATTGAGACATGTTGCCTTTGAGGTTCAACTTGAGTACAAGCCTAGAAAGACAAATGCAACTACTAGAGCAAGAATGAGTCTCTGTCAAAATTCTTCTATAAGAATGACAAGGAGACTTATAAGAAACTAAGAAGCAAGAGTGATCCTTGTCAGAAATATTCAATAAGATCGACAAGGAGATTCACGTTGAACTACATAACAAACATGGTCCTTGTAAGAAGTATTTAACAAGACAAACAAGGAAGATCACAAGCACAATTAAGGAGTGAGAATGCTTATCGTCAATAGCATTCAACAATGATAAGAAAGAGATTAATAACAATCACTGTGACAAGTAGTGTGACAAAATTGAATCACAGTGGAGATAATGCTTTGCATAAAAGTACCAATTCAAAAGGAGATAGTTTCACAAATTCACATTTGAAAACAATTATGGACTACAGTTGGAGTTACTGAAATATGCATCAAGGAGGAGTGCTGAAATTGATGCACATTTCTAGAACATTCTGATAAAAATAAATGACAATGTTTAGAGAAAACTAGAATAGGTTAAAGTCTCTACATGTTTCTTGATTGTTCCAATAACTCTAAGATTAACTTATAGCCTAGAAAGTTCTATGTCAATGTAATATAGAAAATATAAACAAAATCTTAGATAGTTCTATTCTAGAAACATCCTCAAGCATCTATTAATAGACAAACATGTGTGTAATTGTATTAAAGCCTTTAAGGTCCAATGTCTATAATATTGGAGGCTTCATCATACTATTATTCTCCTCCTACAATAAGTGGATTTCTTATGTGTTGTCTCTTGTTCCGTGTTACTAAATTAGCTCTCACACTACTTGCTACTATATTTCAACTATTTATCAGAGCTTTTTACACTATCCAACTACATTCTAAACTATCATTATTCCCTTAAATACCAATAGAAATATTACAATTGCAATTGCAGTTGTAGATTGCAATTTAAAATCATGAAGATGTGTATGGTTGTTAATGTTTATTCAAAACGTATCCTCCCTAAGAAAACCTCAGTAATTTTGTTTCACATATGGATCTTCTTAATTTCTGCCTCATATATAGAAAATTTATTGGGTCCAATAAAATAGTTATGTGTTATTGAGAAAAATATAAGTTTTATATTGGTTAAAGATAAAATTCACAAAGAGTTCATATAGAGTGTCACCCATCACCTTACAAACTGGTTTGAACGAATGAATTAGGTCAAACTCTAATTTTAATATGGTATCACGAGCCAATCGATTCAGGTCACCCACTAGTAGAATAAAAGAATTAGGTACAATGTGATGTCTTTAGTTGATGAGAATAAGTTTATTGACCTTAAAGAGATATGTTTCATCTTTAACTAAAAAAGGTGTCATCTAGGAGTGAGGTTTTATATAGATGTCTTTAGTTGATGAGAATAAGTTTATTGACCTTAAAAGGGATATGTTTCATCTTTAACCAAAAAAGGTGTCATCTATGAGTAAGGTTTTATATAGATGTCTTTAGTTGATGAGAATAAGTTTATTGACCTTAAAAGGGATATGTTTCATATTTAACCAAAAAAGGTGTCATCTAGAAGTAAGGCTTTATATAGATGTCTGGGGTCTCAGAATAAAGATTATTGAAAACTTTCGAGATCTGAGGTGACCAACTATTTCTCTCATCAAATTTTTTAAACCTTAAGAAGATAGACCTACTTTGATTGGTATCCTCTTTGCAACAAATTTTTTGGATGAAAATACAAAACTCTATCATTTCTATTATTAATTTGATCTTACCAGTTGATCAGAACCTAAGGCGGGGCAAAGACAATCGTCTATGATGCTGGGTATGAAAGAGGAGGAGGGGGTGTGTAACACCCCACTTTCCCCGAATAAAATAAAATATGATTAAGTCAAATAAATATTAGAGTTTCCCTTCAATAGTGGGATATCACATCATAAAATTCAACAAAACACTTCATTATATGATTTTCAAAATAAAGCAGTGGAAAATATTATTCTTATCCATCATTCACGGCCATCCACCAAAATACACCAAGGTATTCATTAACAAGGTTCACCACAATGATACGTCACAGAAAATAAACAAGTTCAACATAAAAACAAATAAACTCCCAAGTCCCGTGCTACGTATCAGAGCATCCTAAGACTCGACTTGCACGCCACTATTCAAGCTAGCTATGTACCTGGATTATCTGTACTTCCGAAGAAGCACAGACCACAATTAACAACAAAGGGGTGAGAAAACATGATAAAAATAATCGGTAATAAGATACATGAATAAAAGATAGTAAATATACAAATCGTCACCCCACCAACATCAATCACGACCTACTGTCCAACATCAACACAACATACAATAATGCAAAAATGCAACTCAACACCATGCATGTGGTACCGCCTCATTGGTTCATACAATCGAACCCCGGATAGATCACTTACGCTCCTCCTGTGAAATGATCTATCCCCACCATTCTCCACAAGGGAGTACGGGTGAATCACCTACGCTCCTCCTGGGAAATGATTCAACCCCACCATTCTCCACAAGGGAGTACGGATGAATCACCTACGTTCCTCCTAAGAAATGATTCATCCCACCAAAACACAATGATATGCTCGACACCAAATGCACAATACACAAACTCAAACACACTAAGTGCACACGATCCTCCTGATCACATCACAATACATCATATATATATATATATATATATATATATATATATATATATATATATATATATATATATATATATATATATATATATATATATATATATATATATATATATATATATATATATATATATATATATATATATATATATATATATATATATATATATATATATATATATATATATATATATATATATATAAACACATACACACACCAATCAATTATATTAATGACATTAATTATTAGGAAATTCACATTCCAACACCAAGTATACATTCCTCACCATTAAACATCATCCCTATACCCATCATGACAAAAGGGATCCTACAAAACATCAACATTGGATGGAATCACAAAAATAAAACAAGTTGTTGTCATGCTCGCTGGCCCACTCACCTAGCGAGGCCTCAGCGAACGTTCGCTGCCTCATTCGCCTAGCAAACTCGCTAGCGAAGGCAGATAGTTGCTACTGGAAGTGTTTGCTACCCAACTCGCCTAGCGAATTCCTAGCGAATGCTCGCTACTAGCTCGCCCAACGAAGGTGCTGGCGAACGTCTGCGATTTCACAAAACCCTCACTGTCCAGAAATTCATCAAAAACTCATAGATTATCCGATTCTCACCAAACCAGTCCCTGTAGTCTTAGCCTAACATTCTACGACTAAACTACACGACTTATTCCAGATTTTACCTGATAAAACATCATTTCTACCGATCAAATCATTTTCGACCTAAAATGGTAAACTACACAAAATCACCCAAACCATCCAAGCAATCCCTATACAACCACATGCACGAAGTTCATCATGACAGCAACAATCAGAAATACAACAACATACCAATCATGTTCATCAAATCCCTATGGGGTTAAGGAATCCCCTCTACCAAACATTCATGCAAAATACCAATCCCAATCAGTTTCTCCCCCCTTACCTCGATTAATTGCTTCGATTGATGAAGAACCCACAAGAATCCGACAGCCTTAG